GACACTTGGCCGGCCCTACTGCCAAGTGTAGCATGAGTTTCGCTAACGAAATCACTCGATTGTAGTAGCTGATTTTCGTAACGAAATCACTTTGTAGACTTGATTTCGTAACGAAATCACTTTTGGTAGAACTCATTTCGTAACGGAAAAATATCACTTTGCTAGGACTTGATTTCGTTGCGAAATCAATGATTATAGAGTAAGAAATAATGCGACAACTTGGACGCCCTTACGCAAGTGTAGCATAGATTATCCGTACGGAATCACTCTATTTGATTGTTAGTAGCTGGTTTCGTTCACGAAATGCACTTTGTAAAGATTTTTTTATTTCGTAACGAAATCACTTTGCTAGAGCTTTGATTTCGTACGAAATTATCTACTTTGTATGACTTGAATTTCGTTACGAAATCAAATGATTTAGTAACGAAATCATAGCTACACTTGGCGTAAGGCGCCAAGGTGTCGCATGACTGATTTCGTAAGCGAAATCAAGTCTAAAAGTGATTTCGTTAACGAAATTCAAGTCTACAAATAAATCAATGAACATATTTGGCGTATATTATATGTATTATATGTGCGGAAAAAATAGTTAAATAGATAAGATTAGAAAAATGAAAAAATATGCATACATGGGGGCGTGCGCTGCGCAAGGGGAGAAGGAGGGGGAGAAGGCGAGCTGGTGGAGGAGGAGGGGAGAGGGAAGCTGGTGGACGAAGGAGGACGATTTGTCAGGAGGATCAGTGATTTCGGTAACGAATCAGTCATGCGAACTTTGGCGCCCCACACAGCCAAGGTTAAGCATGATTTTCGTTACGAGAAATCACTCGCAGTAGCCTTGATTTCGTAAACGAAATCAGAGTCATGCCTACACCTTGGCGCCGCGCTCGACCGAGCTTTGTCGCATTTATTTCGTAACGAAAATAACGCTGCAGTAGTTGATTCGTCAACGAAATCACATTTGTAGACGTTGATTTCGCTTACGAAATCAAGGTCATGCTACACTTGGCGCGCCACGCGCGCAAGTAGACTCGATGCTTTTTGTCACGAAATCACTCGCAGTAGCTGATTCGTAAACGAAATCACTCGCAGTAGTTATTTCGGTAACGAAATCAACTCGGCAGTAGTTCGATTTCGTAACGAAATCATCTTTGGACTGTTGATTTATTGTAACGAAATAAAGTTCATGCGAGCACTTGGCCGTGCGGGGGCGCCAAGTGTAGCATGAAATTTCGATACGCAAATCACTTTGCGTAGCTGATTTCGTTACGAAATCACTCGCAGTAGCTGATTTTCGTAACGAAATTCACTCCAGTAGTTGATTCGTAACGAAATACTTTGTAGACTTGATTTCGTTACAAATATGATTTTCGTACGAAATCAGTCATGGCGACATGTTGGCGCCCCATGAGTTCCACCTGTGTGCGGATGCAAAAATCCCTCGCTCGGATCGGCGAGCACGCACCACGACGTAACGCGGACGCGCGCGCGCGCGCTACATACACACACAGCGGCGCACCACGCACGCACGCAACTGCACGCGACACACAACGCACACACACACACACACACACACACACACACCACCACACATAATATATCAGGAGTTAATAAAGACAGATTAACTCCTGATTATAACTCCTTTATTAACTCCTAATACATATATATATATACATATATATATATATCCCTATTAATATATAAATATAAATAGATAAATAGATAAATAGAAATGAGGTGTTCCTCTGACGCCTGGTGCTACAGTACGTAATTATGTCTGCTGAGGTTTACAGCGCATACGTTACGGTATCCATAGTAATGCCTCAACTTATATTAGTCGCGACGAATAGTCGACTATAATTGTGGATAATAAAAGGCGAAGATGAATAAAAGGTGAATATATATAATTTGTGAGATAGATAGATAGATAGATAGACAAACAGACAGCCAGACAGACTGGCATAGGTACCAGGTCTGTCATCCGAATGGCTTTGAGCTAAATCATATATCACTACTAATATTGCTAATATATTACGCCCGACTGTCAGTGCACTGTAGTAAGGCAATATAAGGGGAACGAAATTCGTAAAAAAAACTTCCGCTGCTTCACTATAATGAATGCACCTCATAAGCGCCACATCTTGCGGATAATTACTGTCGTGACCGTGTACGTAGGGCACGTTCTGTCAAGTACTGTGCGATAGTTTTTTACTACTGTGCACTGACAGTCGGGCGTAATATATTAGTAGTGATATATGATTTAGCTCAAAGCCACTCGGGTCACCGACCTGGTACCTATGCCAGTCTGTCTGGCTGTCTGTTTGTGTATCTATCTATCTATCTAGTCTATTTCTGCTATCTATCTATCTATCTATCTATCTATCTATCGTTTATCATATCGTATTTAATCTAACTATCTATCTATCTATCTATCTATCTATCTATCTCTATCTATCTATATCTATCTATCTATCTATATCTATCTATATCTATCTATATCTATCTATCTATATCTATCTATATCTATATCAATCTATCTATTATACCTATATCAATCATCTCTATTATGTGCTCTTGATATATATGTAAAACCTTGGAGTAATCATTCTGAAACTCCAATGATTACTCCAAGGTAAAACATAGATCCATACTGCTACCCACTAGACGATAATATCAGGATTCATGTCGAAATTTAACCATTAATACGTACCCCCTCAGAAGGGATCGAGCATACATGCCGTGCTGTCTTCGAGTAATAGTCAGAGTAACAGTGCTGACTTTAGGTAGCTGGCCTGGACTGTGCGGCCATGCAGGTTAATAAGCTCATCACGTGCCTACTGAATCACACGTGCCTACTGAATCACACGTGCCAGCTACGATAGGCTAGCACCGATGTGTACACAGACATATGTACCAGGGTCCCGCACAGGACATGTTACACCGGTTTGCACGGGTAATTAAGCGCGCGATGCGTAAACATGATTCTGATTCAGCATTACATGGCCACGTGCATACTAGTATCAGGAGCATATCAGTGGTGAATGAAAACTAATTTTGTTTTTATTCACATGTATTAATTAGTTTTAAAAATTATTAATTAAAATACATGTCGCAGGTAACTCACACAGAAATAGCGTTAGGACAATATAGTGTGGAGATATCGGTAATGTGCAGATTTTGACGTCTCACATCTTACTGGGTGTACAATCGTTTTTCTGCCTTTCTCCAAAATAAAAGTTTACTTTCTCTGCGGTCTACACGCTATAATCATTGTTCATATATGTTCTTCCTGAAGCGTTTTACAAAAGAGCAATGAACTGCGATAAATTTATGAGCAACTGCATAAATATAATCTCGGATAACATGCATTATAACAGAAGTAGATAATAGGGATAACCCTATTATCTACTCCTGATTAATGATCCAGAAACAGACAAATTGCACTTCCGTGCATAAATATACAGTCGTTGCCACCCATCGGGTAAGTACAGAATAAAAATAATCAAGAGTAATATAATACATATATTATTAGCTCTTGAAATAATCAAATAATTATTCACACACGCTGATTCTGCACCCTTCGCCTTGGTATAAAAGGCAGGGGTGGAACGTAGAGGTGAAAATGTATATGAGAGGAACGTAATTAAGGTAGAGAAAGGGAAGAGCGTAGAGGAGGTGCGGAAATAGGGGAAGGTCGCTGGTTAAAAAAAGGTAGGGATGACCGAGAGCGCAACAGCTGTTTACAAGATCGTTATTTATCGGTGACGATTTGCACCATCGTAAAACCCGTTCAGGGATTGCGGTAGAAGAAAGCAGGGGGACTACCCCGGGGGACTACAGCGCCCTGTCTGGGAGAGAGGCTTAGCACAGCACGTTGGGGGGGGATGGTGAATCGCCTGCGAACGATCTTCGAAAAATGTACCTTCGTTCTTCATCTGTAGCGCTGCGCTAGTCACAGTAAGTTATAAGAACAATCATGCAGTAGGATGAAGGGGCACATAGGATATAATAATACAATATAGCAATAACCATATAGATAAAGGTAATTATTTCCTGCTGAAGACACTATAAAGATGTAATTTTTCATTTGCTTTAAAATTTCGAAAGAAAACTGGATTCCCCTAGTTAGCATTTGGTCCCTTCTCCCAATATGAGCTTGGCACCAACCTGATCCCACATGTCCGCAACCCTAACTCTCCCTCCAGGAGTAATAATTTACAATAATCTTTGGTGCCACCCCTGAATCCCCTCAGACGAATATCAAATCTGAACGTGTTTCTTACGCTCGGGCTAATACAAATGCCCTACCAGTGTAATATTTGAACACTAAGATCGAGCTAACCGACATTCGCCCGCGTAGGTGTTGCGCGGGTGCATTGCGAGCCGTATGTATGCAATTATGATAATGACATGGAATTATAAAATTTAAAGGTTTGCTTCACTTCACTCACACACAAGCATTTCCCTTACTATATGCAGTTATAAATCAAACTTTTTTATTTGTGACAGATTTCTCGTGTGAAATATATGCCAGATAATATGGTGTAAACACTAGATTAATTGTGTACAATGTATTAGATTTGTATACATGTGTCTCCGGATATAAGGTTGGCTGATCGAGTGCGTATAGAGATGGAGGTGGCCACGCTGATGGGGTTCTAGCAAGTAGTTACGTTATCGACAGTCATTCACTGACCTCTTTGACATAGATTATTATATAGACGGTTTGGCATCTATTCCCGGTGATGGACAGCCATGGTTGAAGCGGAAAAGCCGAATAATTGTTTTAGGCCCAACGTTTCTGAGATTCATAATAATTATAATGTTAGTTTTGGTTGTTTAGTGTGATGTACGAGGTATTTGTTATAGCTGTCCGTGCGGAAATACCGCTTTCCTGTAGAACGTAAATAGTTAAAAAGTATGAAGATTGTGATTTCAATGCAAATATATTGCGGTTTAAGTGTGAAGATGTTTATAAAATGATCGTGTGTAAATGTTTCAACGAAATTTTATCTCGTGGTTTAGTTTAATCAAATTTCTTTCGATTTTTTTTGTACAAACGTTTTTGTAATTTTATAAGAGAAAGTGATCAATTAACTTTACACGTGTTATTATGAATATTCAATTCGAATGTAACGGTGATATAAAAGAAATACTGTTGGCCGAAAATCTTAATTTGTACTCAATATAATAATTTGGTCCCAGCATTCATTAGAGGTAGTTTACAAAGCGGTAGCATATCCGCAAAAAAATAGGTAGCACAAAATCGGTAGCACATAAATCGGTAGCACAATCCGCAAATTTCGAAATTATTAGGTTGAGTGGCACAACTGCAACCAATTTTCCTGTTACTGTTTGTACAAAACTGGTGGCACCTTGAATGACCACACTGGGAAGTCGTATTTCAGCTTGACAGTGGTAATCTGGAGTTCTATTCTGCAGTTATGAGTGCTAGCGCAACTATTAGTAGGCTTCACTATACGGTATCTCAGTATATACAGAGTTTGCTTAAATTTCTAATGGTTAGTAATACGTACCTCAACAGATGTGATATTTACATAAAATAAACTTTAAATACGCAGAATAATCATACACGTACACACGGTAAAATTCAACATGCTGGTAAATAAAATATGTTCAAAATGTCTTCGCTTACTTATGTCCCTGATTTTTTTTATATAAAAAAATATTAAAAATATTAAAAATTAGCCCTTCGGGGCAATTTTGTACATCACTGTTCCGGCCAGTGAACAAGCGACCAAGACCACATAAACCCTCATAACACAGGGTTTATGTGGTCATAAAGCAATGTCTAGATACGGTTGACATGTAGCGAAATAAATATTGGCCTATATATATATATATATATATATATATATATATATAATTTCATTGAGTAACCAGATGATTATCATCCATTTTAAGAAATTTAAAATAATTCACGATAAGGGTCAGGCAATAGCTGTAAAATATTAACAAGAAACGTAGCCTACACTGACCCACTTCTTCGTTGCATTCCAGTACACATTCCATTTCATTCCACAGAGAAATTATGCAATGATCTAACTTCGATGCATGTATATTACACCGCTATCATTATTTCATTCACTACTTCATTAGGTTCTTCTCTGTCCATCCAACCATTACACTGGACATTTTTCTTCGCATTACTGAGCGGCCTCCAGATCTACATCACTGTCTTGTATACCGTGGTTTGTAGCCGGCCATTAACATGAACTCGTAGCAATGTTCCTCTATAATTTTGATGACACGCGGTGGAAGTGCGTCCATCCACGCTGTTGCTGTCGCGTTGGAATCATTGCGGAACGTTCCTAAGCGATACACCTTGGGTGTCTGCGTGCCACTGACCTTTCCATGAGTGTTCACGTCCAACCATTCGTAAACGTTGGACGGGAGTTCCGGCAAGCCAACAAAGTCATAAAGTTGTTTGGCACTCTCTACGGGCGCTGCAGCCAAATCCTCGTACCTAACACGACGATAGCTCGAAGGTGCGCGCAGTCGCAGGCTGTTGCCTTGCACGAGATTTTTCAGTTGATCTGCGCAGTGGATCTTCACATTTGCACGTAATCTCTCGACTGATGCGGAGACGTTCTTGGAGAGGTTCGGCCACCAAGACCGGAACATGCCTCTCGGATCACGGATGAGATGAATTATTTTCACGTCGAGGATAGGATGTTCAAGCAATGGTTCAAGGTCGCTGATGTTTGCACGGATCACCTTAATCGCAGAATGCCTGTACGTGTTGCAGACCGCTGGCACCACCTTAAATCGTTCACTCACCTTTTCCGTCAAGATTTTCCTACATTTCGGTTCCATCTTCATTGCCAGTTGTGTTACCAAAGTCAAGTAGTTTAGTCAAGGAAAAGAAATTCCATATTGGTTGGTAGTCCTTATTCGGTTTGCACAAAAACAAGCTCGTGAGAAGAGATCGCTGCCTTGCGGCCTTTTGTTCGAACGACAAGTTAGCGTAGTCAGTCACTCTACTTTCAAGTGCGTGAAGCGGTTCAAAGACATAATACACATCCGCGTTTTGATTGAATATTTCGCCCGTGAACGTAGATCCTGATCGGTAGCGCGTACTGATGAGGATGGCCTTCTTTCGTTGTTGTAGTGGTTGGGGTCTTTCAAATTTCCATTGATTTCCTGAAGCACAAAGCAACATTCACACAATACTCAAGTTATACTAAAACATGGAGTTGTTATTTATGCTATACCTACGTTACCTGCGTTTACCTACGTAAAATGCTAATAAGTAACTATAGGCATACATTTCGTTGGCATTCAGGGTCGGCGTTACTGTGATAACCTAAAAGTGATTGTCAAGTGATGCCCGTATTGATGCGGCATTAATGCATGTCGATCCCGATATTGCAGTTCATTACTTGTAGTATTTCGAAGACAAGAGGATTTATTTTGTTAATAATTGACACACCCACACGCACGCACGCACGCACGCACGCCACACACACACACACAGCGGCACACGCACACACACACACACACACACCACACACACCACACACACACACACACACACACACACACACATATATATATATATATATATATAGAGAGAGAGAGAGAGAGAGAGCAGAGAGTAAAAAACACATGGCACAGCCACGTAGATAGAAATTTATACTATAGAAAAATATGATTTAAGTGTCAATTTTTTATATACAATAAATGGCGTATAAAATAACTGACACAATATTCTATTTTTCTATGCTATAATATATTTTCATATTATTATTATTTTCTCTCTCTCTCTCTTTCTCTCTCTCTCTCTCTCTATATATATTATCAACAGCGTATAAAGAAGGCCTTCTTTATACGCTCTTGATATTATATATATATATAAATTGTTAACACAGTCTATACATATACGGCGTTTCTGTGTGACACTAAATATTTTTTACATAGCTTTATCAGAATATGGTTTTTTAGCAAACATACCTTTGCTTTCCATGTACATATTACTATTGAGAAATAGTAGCTTGACCAGCCATATCAAAACGAATGCTGCTATTGTGCTAACCAGTCCCTTTTGTAGAAGAATCGACTGATTCGCCCTGCAACTTGAGGGTCGGCCACACCATGTTCAACTTATATGTGTCGTCACATCTGCTCTAAGTTTTCACCTGTGAAATGAAATTAACACCGATAGGAATACGCAACTCTGATTGACTTGGTAGGTACTGTGCCTACCCATTTTATACCAGGGGATGATTTTCTGTGCCTAACGGAAAAGTCTACAACTTTAATTTCTTAATTCTCTTCTTCTTCTTCTTCTTCTTCTTCTTCTTCTTCTTCTTCTTCTTCTTCTTCTTCTTCTTCTATATACTGAGCTGGGCTCTTAAAAAAGCGTAAGTAGCTCAACGATACTAGGCGTGGTGGTGGCGCACAATGTCTCAATGTTAAATCATACATTAATTAATTTAATTAATTTTAACATTGCGCATATAACATTATTGCGCATTATGCATGTATTTAAGCAATTGAAATTAGAAATCTTTTGCACGTTCTACCAGCTTGCAGCTGGCGCACTTGGTGTATTAGTAAGTAGATGACTTCTCTAAGTGTTGTGTTTTCGGAAACTACGTTGACGCGAGTTAAGAATATATTTTGACACATTTAGGCCATTGTTTTATTCGTTACTTTTTTCGGTCAACGTAACTGATGTGTGGCCTTGTAACTATCAGCATGTGATCTCATTAACGCTATCGATGTATAACATGCTGCCACGGCGATATATGCCCTACCACATCCCTCATTCTTCTATCACCCGTGTCTTCTAGCGCCTTCCAGACTCTCGCCCCTTTCCCTATGCTATATGACATATGTTATATCCGTTCCTTTCCTCAGCCTCCCCTCACTCGATCTCTCTTCCTCTCTCTTTTCATGCCCTATTATTTCTTCTGTTTATTATTGATATAAAACCAATTTCCTCTTTCTGACCAATTTTCCAGTTCTATTCATGATAGTGCTCATACAAAAACACCACCACGTTGCCTACAAGTAAAAACAGACCTAGACTATTAACAAATCTTGAGCTTTTATGTTACGATTACCTATAATGTAGGTTACATTGTGATATTTTGATGACAATTGATCAAGCCTTGGATCGAACTACCCAAGCTCTATATTCTATGAAGAGCCCACAGTACAGGGAAGAAGGTACAGATTTCGTTGAACGTATTGAAGGTTTCTAGCTACCACCAGAGGCTTTTTATCCCTCTGTAGCTTATGTGTCCTATAGAGATACACACAAGGATTGGTATTATATACCATATATGTCACTTCATAAATTAATACTTTGTTACTCACTAACTGAAAATGGGCATGCATGCATATATGAATTTAGACATTTTAGATGTCTCTCATGATGAAATCGACGTCAAACAATATCCTAGCAATGAGCGGCAGTACGACTGGAAAAGCTTGGGACACGCTTTTAATTGTGTTACAAACGTTGGTAAAGCGATATTGTAAGTGTCTTTAGGTAAACGTGATGTGCCATCTATATGCCTCTTCTGTAGTGTATTTTATACACCGTACAGACTGCAAATTTGATCCTACATCAAACTAGTCCGGCGAGGCGCGCGCTAAATTTTTGCTAAATGTACGCTGCGGTTTAGCGCGCGCTGGCGCGGGCCTGGCCCGGACTAGTTTGATGCAAAATCGAATTTTGCAGTCTGTACGGGGTATTAAAGACTGAACGTCGCCTGCCGCGGACAGCTCTGATGCCTCCGGGGTGATCAGACCTGTACATTCCACCCTAAACCTAATGCGTTTATTGACCTTAACGTGAACCATCGTTAATGTTGTTGACGGTGTTTATGTCGTCATAAACACATGACCTACGGCCGTGACAGAGCAAGTACATCGTTAAAAGGGGGCTTATGTCGGGCTTGCGAGCCGACTCGACTGGAAGCAACTGGCTGCAATTCACTGCGACTGCAGTGCTTATAAGCCGGTCGTCTGCGACGCGACTGCCTGCGACTGGCCGCCACTAGTTGCTCGGAATAGAACAATGGGCAACTGGACGCAACTATAGTTGCTGCCGATCGCTTCCAGTTGCTCGAAATCCAGTTGCTTCCAGTCGAGTCGGCTCGCAAGCCCGACATAAGTCCCCATTAACGATGTACTTGCTCTGTCCCGGCCGTAGGCTGAACAAATTCCTAGGGGGGACAAAATTTCATCAGTCAACTGTGTAATGATGAGCGACAGGCGCAGCTCTTGATCGACGTCCATAGTGTGGTAGGGGTGGGTCTGAGACAATTAAGGCTTTCGCTGATAAGTGACCAAAAAAATCACGTTCTGGTTATTTACGATTATTAGCTAAGCGTATTTTTTTAATTTTGCTCCAAAATCTAAGGGGGCAGCTGCCCCCTTGCCCCCTTCCCCAGAGGCTATATACGCCCCTGTCTGTCTACTCCTATGCAGCATTTTAGCCGTTTAGAGACAACTGACGCGGATGCTCTATATTTATAAACAAGAGCTAATAAATACATGTATTATTAGCTCATGATATAAAGCATTCTAGCCGTCTAAAGATAACAGATGTGCTTGCTCTATCAGTAGGCCTATGCAGCATTTTTGCCGCTATAAATATGGACAACAGACGTGCTTGCTTTATCGACATGCGCCATTCTAGATGTCTGTTGACAACGCGGATGTGTATGCTATCGATATGCAGTAACCTTGCCGCCCATATTATTATAAACAACAGATCGACGTGCTCATTCATCGATATGAAGTACTCTGGCTGTCTATTGACAACGGTTGTACTTGCTGTATATCTAATTATCTATATACAACATTCTTGTCGCCCCCCCCCCCATATAGAAAACCCGGCCTGTGCACCCGCTGCGTTATTGTTGCTTATTAGTATCAAGAGTACATAATAGAGATTTTGTTACATAATCTTGATACATAATCTCTATTGTGTACTATTGTTACTATGTACGCCCTATACCTGACGTGACTAGTTATATTGCATAGACATCGTGTTTTGTCAAAAATGTGATGATGACGTCTCATATATTTCGATCTGAACTCTTCGGCTGACCTCGTGCGTGCGCGTTTGTTTGCTCGTTGTTTGTACCTAGAACCGTTGCTGTTGTGCTCCACGCTTATAATATAATAAATGTTATGCTATAATGACGGATTAGCTACCAACACAACACCAACGAACGCGACCAATTACTCAGCAATTTAAACACTTCCATCTGAATTCACAATCAAACTGCGCATGCAGCTATTCTGTATATACTCAATTGGCAACTTGGCGTCGCAGTGCCTTTCTCTCTGTTAAAACGAACCCTGTATCGAAGTTTATAGCATCGAAACCGCGATCGTGCATACTCACCGTGCGTATGTGTGAATAGACCCTACACGGATCTACATCCTCGCTAATCCCTGACGCGTCAGGCCACAGGTCCCGAAACGTTGCGGGTGCTACGTGCGTGTGTCACTGTCGCCGCCAGCGATCCTGCTCCTGATGCGAGCAGTGTCGCTGCAACTTCGTAAATAGGCTAGTAGTCCCGGTATACAGCAGGTTATTCTTATAACTGCGGCGCCCCGCACGTGAATGCGAGCTACGAAGCTTGACGAAACAGAACATTGGTTCTAGTTAGAAGACCACGCAGGCAGATCGGAATGGGAACGCCGCGCTAATATGAACGCAAATGATTTGTCCATTCATCTGCAGGTTCGCGGTGAGGAAGCGCATGCTGGAAAGCGCGTGACACATTTCACGGCGTGAAACAGTGTAATGGCTACAGACTGCAGACTGCAGACGCGCTGTACAGTTATAGATATCTATCTAATGGTCCGCTTCGTGCACGTATTTCGTGCGCTCGAGGGAATGAATATGCGCCGTGAATAACACGCACGGACTGAGGTAGAATGATCGATGCCGCCTTTTGATGCTCATGCACACTGAAGGAACAACGCCTCAAGGACAACAAAGCGTATTATGTTGAGTATCGACCGATACGGCCTACGGCATTTTACTAGCAGCATGCTGTTTATTGCACAATATAACTATGGGCTGTTTTTACATTCTTTACTGTGTAGTATTAAAACGGATATAGCGCTCCGGAACGGAAGTATTTCACGTGCCGCCGCACATGCTTGTATGGTCTAACAAAATTGCCATCGCACTGCGTGCGGTTTCACAGTGTTATAAACTTATTAATCCTAGTTATTCTATCCGACGTCGTGCACGACGTTACATGTGTTTCACCACGACGTCACACGTTTTTTCCCCGCGGTCACGCGTTTTCAAACGCGACGTCACACCTTTTCAACCACAACAATATGCGCTTTTAAATACGACGCTATGTGTGTTTTTCAACCACGACGTCACGCGCTCTCAACCACGACGTCATATGTTTTTCAACCCCGACGTCACGCGCTTTCAACCCCGACGTCACGGGCTTTCAACCACGACGCCATACGTTTTTCAACCACGACGCCATGCGTTTTTTAATCACGATGTCACGCGTTTTTAACGACGCCGTCACGCGTTTTTAACCGCGACGTCACGCGTTTTCACCCATGGCGTCACATGTTTTCAGCACGCGGCCACGCGTTTTCAACTACTACGTCGCGCGTTTTCGAACAACTACATCGACCACGATATTGCGCAACCACTAACGCGTGTCAACCACGATATGTCTCGTGTTTTTAACCACGACGTCAAGCTTTTTTTACCACCACATCACGCATTTTCAACCACGACGTCATGCGGTTTTTCAATCACGTCACACAAGTAACGCGCATCATATCTTATGATAAAAAAACACAAATTTTATGTCGACATTAAAATCATCATCACTGGCATTGCAAAAAACTGTGCAATGCATAATGAACAATAAACATTTCCTTACTTTCTTTGTCATTCAAGAAAGAATTTGTAGTCCATCATGCACGATAATGGCTACATAACAGGAAATCTATTATGGAGAAGGACGCGTTTAAAATAGGAAAAAAATTGGAAGATATCATCCTGCGAACAAGGTTAGCAAATTGGATGAAATATTTGCTGCTGTGAATGCAGAGCTCTGCCTACACTGACGCTGCTGCACAGGGAACCGCGCGCGGACTATCAATGTGATTCACCCGCCGACTGAATATCCAGGATATAATCAAGAGCTAATAATACCTAATAATAGGTATTATTAGCTCTTGATATAATTATGTTATTCATGATACACAGCTAAGCATGTAGCTGAGCTGTTTTGCCATTTTTCCAGTATGACCTCGTGCTGGTGCATAATTTTAAATAGTGAAATATCAGGTTGGCGTAGGCCTATATCTTAATTTGTGTGGACCGTAATAAACAGACAGAACCATTTTTTACACTAATGTTATCAGGAGTAAGATAATATAGATTATCTATATTATCTTACTCCTGATGTTATGACAAACGACGTGTAAAACCAATATAACGAACACACGTGATTGTGTTTACCTGGGTAAATTCTGCACGCATAAGCGGATCGATCTCTATATAGCTTCCTCCGGTGAACAGGCGATCGTCTCCTTCGGATATAATTTAGTAACTACAGGCATTATCCGTGGCAAAATTGCGCTTTTAATCCAGTCCGTATCAATTATTACCTAGACACGTTAGCGGGCGTGCATACGCGTGGCGGGGTGCGTATGCGTAAGTGCGTTAGTGCGCGTATGAGCGCGCTCATGCATATCTACCCCAACCACTGAATCTATTCTATATATAACTATATTATATAACTGTTATATATAGAGCATGCAGTGAGCCCATCAGCAGTACTAGTACATCACAACAACAATACCTCACCACCATAGCCTTGGTGGAATACAACAGTAACCAATGGCAATGCGCTATGCAACATGCCAGAGCCGCTAGCATGCTAGGTCTAGTACTATAGCCCCAAACTCCACGACAGGTGGCGCTCTCGCTCTGGCTCAATACTACTCAATACTTTGCTCAATACTACTCAATAATACTCAGTATTATCCTGAGTGTGGGAAGGAGGCGCTGCATGCAGTTTGCTATAGCCCGCGTACTGTTGCCGCAGGCCTGCCTTCTCTGGCCTGCCTGCGGCAACTGTACGCGGGCTATAGTACTAGAGCTACTAGCATGCAAGAGCGTTATAAACATGCTCTGCACAGAGCATATAAATCAGAGCATATAATTTTGCTCTGCTCTGCATCAATGAAAAGTATATTTTTAGAACAAATTAAAGAAATTGGAAGTAATTGGGCAAATGAGGCTTTAGAAATCATGAGTAATTATGAAAAGTAGAAGTTAGAAACAGTAATTATGAGAGATACCATGAGGTCTGGCGAGAAAACAAAAATGAAAATGATAAATATATCGAAAGCTATGTATTAAAGCCATATAGGCCCTATGACAAAACTGTCATTTGATGATGCATGCTTTGTGTTTAGGTGTAAGACGTGCATGATTAACTTAAAAAGTTATTTAAAAAATAACTACAGTAATGATATATGTGATTTGTGTGACGAAAGGAAAAAAGAAAATTTGGAACATTTATACTCGTGTAAGGTATATAGAGATTAGAGGGTATAATAAAGGGGAACGAGTAGAAGATTGGAAAAGTGATGACCCGAAAATACTAAAACCAGCACTAGAATATGTTAGAAAGGGTTCAATTAGAGAAAGTAAAATAATTAATGCTATCTTGTAGACAGAATTTCCTTATCTACAGGATTTCCCCGCACATTCCAAGAGAATCAGTGCCTTGTGAAATACAAGAGCGGGACCCCAAGATACAAGATACAAAATACAAGATCAATGGCTCTGCAACATGCTGCCCTCTACTGTTGTAAATGGTTGTAAAACATCTCAGGTGCCGATGTCACGTGATATAACATGTCTGCGTCCATAATACACTTCTGTGGCACAAGCACTGAAGCAGTACTACTAGTACTACTACAGATTGCAGTGCAAAATATATTTGCGCCCAGTTCGGTTATATTCCATGAATATCCAGTGAAGATAAATGCAACACTGCATTGCTGATTCAAATTCAAAATGGTATATAACACGATATCATTCATGGGTCAGAACAGAAGTACAGGTAGTTCTGTTGAGTGACGTGAGTGTTGTCTGACTGAGGAGAAGGCAGCTGATTGTACCATCAAAGCGTACACAATCAGCGGCGAATTCTTGGGCAGTGCAAGAACAATGGCATGAAGGCACAGAATTAGACACATGTAAATAATATCGCTAAATGCAATGAGTAATCTGAATTACAGAGCAAAATCTGATAAAAATACTTACAGCCGATACGGTCATCCAAGCAGTGAAAAAGGGGATCGACATAGCACGCATAACATGGATATGTCACGTACACACCAACACCAAAGTGAAAGCCATCGGCATAAGGAACGCTACCGTGATAAACACAAATCAGCGTCATCTTACTTGAATAACGAGCATGATAAACACAAAAAAGGTTCCATTTCTGATAGTTTAGAGGACTGTGATGATAACAACTCTGACTTTGATTGGGAAGCATATAGATCATCACTGAACCGAATTTTCTTTACAGACACCGACCCTATTAAAGTAGAGACCCCTGACTACCATAGTTTTTGGGCATTTTTAAAGAAATTCCAGGCTTTCAATAAGATGAAACGTACGACAAAAAAGTTAGTGACAAATGTATTATCCAAGACTGTGCTCGACCTTCCAGCTTGTTATGATAAGCGCTACCGAATTAACCTTGCGCTCGCAAAAAACATGGATGAGATGAGGAAAATAGCATCAACCACAACAAAAGGTAGAGAACTCACTGTCACACGACTGTCACAATTTAAGTACATTCTATTGTGTTACATGGATTTTTGTCAGAAGCAAAAATTTAACAAGTTGAGACAATTAAAAAAAACGCAGGAGAACTTGCCCATTTTCAAGTACAAACAGGAAGTCATTAAGGCTGTTCATCAACACCCTGTGGTTGTAATTGCTGGAGATACTGGATGTGGGAAGTCTACCCAGGTAAATGCTCTATAATATAAAATTGTTTAAATATTGCAAGTATTAGGTCATTGTAAACAGCATAGTACCATCATCACAATTAAATTGTGCCATTAATTTCGATATAGGTAGTTGAGTTCATGACATGGAATGATTTTAATGTATAAATAAAATGCATACGTAACAAATTTCGATATATGCACTTGTCACAAGTATCAGTTGTAGTTATTGCTATAAATGAGTAAATAGCATTGAAAAAAATTAATTTGAAAAAAATTAAAATATTTTCTTAGATATCTACCCTACCTTCTCCTGGCTATGTTCCCCCAAACATGATACTTATTTTGTTTGGCTTATTTGGCATATGTGTATGTGTGTGCATGCGTGCGTGCGTGCGTGTGCATAATATGTTTTCCATACAGAGTTTTTAGCATCATAGCTTTAGCAAGTGCTAATATGGGTGCTAGCATATGGGTGTGTGTTTGTTTGATTGTTATGCAGGTTCCCCGATATCTATTGGATGCTGGTTTCACCAATATTGCATGCACACAGCCACGGCGAATCGCCTGCATGTCATTATCGAAACGAGTTGCGTATGAAACACTGAATGAGTATGGTTCCAAAGTTGGGTACCAGATAAGGTAAACCTGGATTTGTTATATTTATACCATTTAAATCATAGTTTATAATTATTAAGTTGAATAATATAAATAAAGTTAATCTGCAGCTGTAACAGTAAATTATATAATAAAGTTGAAACAGCCGATAAAGCGAGCGTGTTAAATCTACAATAAATGAAACAATCCAATTTTGGACCAATGCCCATCAGTGAAAAGACAGTAGACCTTACAGCACAAAGAAACATCCTGGTTTAAAGTTATGAATGACTGCTGTGTATGTGTGTGTTAGAGCAATCGCTCTGTACAATTGGTGTATATTAGCATTTTTCAGCAAGGGAATTTTATATGACTATCATGAATAAGTGTCTATTATGTAGGTATTTCGGTGGATATATGTCATATGACATAAACTTTAACAACTAACTTCTATCCGCAATGCGGATGTAGATTCAAAATCATTAGATGTATGCAATATATATATATATATATATATATATATATATATATATTATATATATATGCAAATGTCAAATATAACTCTGTCTGGTGTGTGCTGCAGGTTTGAGAAGCACAAGACACAGCACACGCGCATTCTGTTCCTCACGGAGGGGCTGCTGCTGCGGCAGATGGAGACTGACCCTGAGCTCTCTGCTTACACTCTCATCATTCTCGACGAGGTCCATGAGCGCCACCTACACATGGATTTCTTACTGGGAGTCCTGCGCTGTCTAGTACAGGTGTGAATTACAGGCTGTTATTGTACAAATGCCATAATGCTTTTTACTGAAAATGAATCTGCAATTCGTCTCAGGCAAATTTGATATATATTTGTTTTAATTTTGGCTTTGTTACAAGCATGTGGCCATTGTGTTGTTTCAATGATAATGTAAGTGTAACTGTGTTTGTCTTGATATAAAATGTATGTACAATAATATCAGGGGTTAATAATGACAAAATTTGTCATTATTAACCCCTGGTAATATCCATGAACACGTTTCTATTGCCATGATACAAAATTGTGATTATACTGTGCTCTGACCTTGTCTATACTGTTTATCAATAAATTGAACAAATTATGTTTATTACAACAATTTCACCTCATCATGAAAAGGCAATATTCAATAGTAATGCAGTGATCATTACTGGTATATCAGCAATTGGTTTCTCCGATTTAAAGCATCGAAAAGACCTAAAGGTAGTGTTGATGTCAGCTACCATCAACATCGAATTGTTCTCAGAATACTTTGGCTCTGCCCCAGTTGTCAAGGTGCCAGGACGTCTATATCCAATCAAGCTAAACTATATGTAAGCCAAACATATATATACTAACGTTGTAAACAGATATAGATATTTCCAGATCGTAATTCTAATTTTTTTATGCTGTTATATATGCAAAACTGGTAAAGGCTACATAAAAACCCGTCAATTTTGTGTTTCATTAGGGAATCAAGATTATTCAGTTAATTGTATATGCCTGTATCACATTTCAGGCCTGCCAAAAATCCAGAGACGAAAACTGAGCGATTGGATCCATCACCATATGTTCGCATTCTACAGATGATTGACAATAAGTACCCAGCAAGCGAAAGAGGTTATAGTCATACTAGATTTGGTAGTGTTGCGCAAAATTGCCATGAAGGTTGCTAGCTGACAATGGGCTTATTGGTAAAAAGATATTGTTAGGGGTATCTTACAATAAATATGTTGGTTTGTGATTGTATCAGGAATCAAATATTTATTTTGGCATGTGTGTCCCCGCAAAGTTAATCACAATCAATACAAAGGTGTCATTTTTGGTCTTAATATATTTTTGTATTGCCTCTGATGAGAAAATACAAGTAAAATGTCATTATTAAACCCTGAAAAAACGAGCATTATCCCTGAGAAGACAATATAATATATATATTATATTGCAAGAATATGAGGATAGTTGTATTCCCTATCAGGTGGTTAATATAATAGCCAGATTATAGCTTGAGGTCTGTGAATTCAGGTGATATGCTGATTTTCATGTCGGGGATGTCAGAGATCCAGATCGTGGTGGAGGCAGTGAAGGCATATGCAGAAAATAAGCAACGCTGGATCGTGGTTCCGCTGCATAGTGCACTCTCCATAGCTGAACAGGACAAAGTAGGTGTTTGAAGATGTCACCATGCACTGCCACGGTTGCATGTCCTATACTTGTGGTGTGAGTGGTGGTGTTGGTGCCCACTGAATGCCTGAGAAATCAGTACATTGTATGTTGTAAACTACCTTAAGTTGGAGTGATTAGTGTAATAAAGGATATATATTTGGTAATTGTTGGAAAAGTAAAGGTAACGTAGAAAGGAGGGGAAAATGGTTGGAGAGAAAAGCATGGTTGTTCATCTAGCTCATAGGACAAATAAATAGTTTGGAGAAATTCGGAATGTATGAGTTATCATGGGGAGAAATTTTATAACAAGGCAAATTTTATATTGACTTATTTGGTTTTGAATTACCAGGTTTTTGATGTGGCACCAGAAGGAGCTAGAAAATGTGTTGTATCTACCAACATTGCTGAGACGAGTGTCACAATAGATGGTATCAGGTATGTGTATGTCAGAAAAAAGATGTTCTCCTTACCCTCATAGCATTTCACAGTTATATGTCAGTATAAAATTGATACGGAAAAATGTGCCGCCATCTAGTATGAATAATAGGTACACATGATATGTTCTTTTAATTAGACAATATGGATACTTTAGTATCACTGCTGTATAGCTTGTAGTTACTAAAATACCCATATACATACATGTATATACATGCGTGGATATTCGTGGGTGCATGTGAATGTACATAAATATATGTAAAAACATGCACATTACATGCTACATACAGCATGGATTCCTTATCACCAGAGTATGCAAATACACTGCAGAGATGCAATTAGCCTCAGTGTATACACCCAGAGTTGGGTACACTTTCCAGATAACGAAAATTTTTATTCCTGTTTTGTGTGTCACAAGTAAAGTATAGTTTATGTAATTATTGAAATTAACTGTTATGACTTGATTTGAAAACATGCAAAGTATAAAGGATTGTCTTCCTATTGCTGTTGAAGTGGGGATTTGCATATTCTGATTGCATTTCTGACTGCATAATGTCCACATATTTCAGGTTTGTCGTAGACTCTGGCAAGGCGAAGGAGATGAATTATTTCTCCCAGTTTAAGATGCAGCGTTTGCAGGAGTTCTGGGTGAGCAAAGCCAGTGCTGAGCAGAGAAAGGGACGAGCAGGTGAGCCTCCCTACCAGTACTTTCTCTAACTTAACACAAGTAATGTATATAGGTGTGCAGCTAATGTTAATATAATAGACCCAAATCAGACTCACACTGCTCTTCCTCTATTTGCGCTTGTTAATTTCGTTTCTTTGATTTAATTGTGACAAGATGTATTTTTGTATATGATGCATGTTGGTTGGTGAGAACATTCCCTGCAACATTTCATGACAGTATAAAACTATTGATGCTTTCTATCCGGGCTGTAAACCATACGACTATGATGTCTAGCAGTGGGTGTTTCCTATTCAAGTTGTAAGCCATGCTACCGTAGTGTCTATAGCTGTGGCTGAGGTATCATGCTATTGGGATCAATAACCATCTATATTTATTCTATAACATCTAGGCAGAACAGGTCCAGGAATCTGCTACCGTCTCTACACGGAGCAGGATTACGAAGCATTTGATGACTACACAATGCCGGAAATTCACAAAGTGCCGTTAGACTCGCTCGTCCTGCAGATGATTGCCATGGGCTTGTCCGATGTCAGAACGTTCTCATTCATAGAGGCGCCATCTAGTGCTAGTATTGAGTATGCAGTGCAGAGTCTGAAGGAGCATGGTGCGCTTACACAAAGTGAAAAGCTAACGCCTATAGGTAACAATGATAGATTATGATTATTATTATTATTGAAGCCTTATTACACCGGTACAATTTGCACTGAACAACATTAGAAACAGGTTATCTGCATACACACGTGCATAATAACGACACTGTATGCGACTCTTCCAGGACAGATGCTGGGAAAGCTTCCCGTTGAAGTTGTCCTAGGAAAAATGCTAATTATGGGGTGCATTTTCAACATTGTGGAGCCGGTGACTACAATGGCTGCTGCACTGGCCATACAGAGTCCTTTCACAAACTATGCATACAGGTACAGCATGAGTTATCCACTGCTAGTAATACGAAGTGCATTTACTCGATGCTTGATATTTCCACATTAACATCTGCATATCTGGCACTAATATCATAATTTGGCCACTACTCAGAGTTCAAAGTAAGTATCAGAGTTTTGCTCTCACACCTTTCCCTTGGCATTTTCTTGGTCAATTGCATGTCGCTTCAGACAATCTGTTATTACATCTTGCGATGAAGGCAGCTCACAGCCTAATAGAGGCACGATGTTACCAGTGTACGCACGCATCGGCCTGGTGCTGACGATGTGAAAAATATCAGTCTTCAATATATGTATTTGTATTTGAATTACATGCAATAAAGAATATATAAATAATAATAAATGATAATAAATGTCAAATGATAACAATAATAATATTCACCCCGGATGGTGTAAAAATTATGTCGAGCTTGATGTTATCGATATGAAATCATCACATGCATGTATTATAAGCAATCTATGACATTCATTTCCACTCGGCCCACAAATGTTTCCGCTGTCCTCTCAATCAGGCAATATTATATACACATGCGCGCGTGTATGCGTGTGTGTGTCCTAGGGCGCTCTCCTAATTATACACACAGGTCTACTGATAAGAATTAATTACAGAAATCTATGCTGAGATACCCCTGACCATATTTAAATGCATTTTCAACACAAAATATAACTCCTGACGTGAGATATTAAGCATGTGCTAAAAAAGTAACGTAGCCAGATTGTGTACTGACTGGTTTATGCAGCGGAGACCTTACATGCAAGGTCTGCTTCCTATTTCATAACTAAGTGAGGTCTACTGATGGAATATTATCATAGAAATCTATGCTGGGATAACCCCTCTTCACTTTAAATTCATAATTTTGGCAAGATATTCTTCTTCTTGAGAGATATTGCGCATGCGCGAGCACCGTTTCAGACGTGCAGTACAGCCTAAATAAAAGTACGTAATATAGCTTGCTCCGGGAGCGAGGGGTGGGAAACTGAGGAAAGGTGGCAGGAAAGACAGCCGAGGGGCGGTGGAAGAAAAAGGAGGCTGAGCGTGCGACAAGGAAGACAAGAGAAAGGAAATAATGTTCTGTATGCCGCACAGGGACCCCGACGTCCTGCTGGCCCGAAAGAACCTCGAATCAAGCCACGGCGACTCGTTCACTCTGCTGAACTGCTTCAACGAGTGGCTGCAGCTGAAGGCGGGTCGAGGCACGTCGTCTCGACGCTGGTGCAAGACGCGAGGTCTCGAGGAGCAGCGCTTCTACGAGATCACAAAGGTATTCGAGCGATGTGTGTCGGTAGTAGTAACAGGGGCGACGATGGAGGCCAGCTTAACCGCCGCCACCAAATCCGCAAAAGATATGTCTAAGTCTGTATCTTTATATAATTGTGGTGTGACCGCCGCCTAGGTGACTGATAAGCTGAGAGGAATTTAGAATTTTTTGTGGTGGCAGTGGCTGGGTTGGGAGCAGCAGCAGTAGGGCAGTGGGGTAGTGGCAGCATGGGGGATTGTTGTGGTGGTGCCTATGCCTATCTATATATATATATATATCTATATATGCCTATCGTATATACCATTGAAGCGTTGGTTGTTAGATGCACATGCATGCCACCGGTGTGCTGTAGGTAGTAATATTGCAGCAGTCACTTGCTGACCGTGCGTGTTGTATAGTCGTATGTGTGCATCCACAGCTGAGGCAGCAGTTCAGACAGCTTCTAAGCAGCCATGGGCTACTGGAGAAGAAGCCAGACCTGCAGACGAGCACAGAGCGGAGGCAGTACTACGGGGAAGTACAGCGGCTGAAGCGTATGAAGCGGGAGTATCACAGTGCCGCACCACGCAAGCGCAAGGTCCTCAAGCGTGAATCCAACCACGAAATCGTAAGTTCTCTGTTGTTGCAATAAAATAACTGGCTGCTAACAGCCATCTGCTACTAGGAAGGTTAATAATGACAAATAATTTGTCATTATATTGTATGTATATAATTTGTATATTGTATATGTATATGTAATGTATATTGTATGTATGTATTGTAATAATGACATAATAATTTGTCATTATTAACTGCTGATAACATGTCGTATGTGGATAAGGTTTCGTTAACTGCATTATTTAACATAAGAGTGTCAATTTAGTAGATGTACTTCAGACATTGCAATCTTAATTGCATCGATTTGGTTTTTCCCTGTTATATTTAATTGTCCCGTTGTTTATTTTGGTTGCGATTTCAGGAAGGGTTTCACGGTCACAGCAGTGACGAGGAGAAAGCTGTCGATATTCGAGATATCGATTTTCATCTTGCTCACAGCTCGTCAACACTGCGAGAGGAGGTAGAAGCAACCCAGCTGACTCACAAACATGTTATCCTGCTGAAGGTACTGCATTCTGTCATTGCAGTGGTAAAATAACATTCTATTCTTGCAGTTGTAGCGATGGACACCCGTTTTCAAGGGTATAAAATGTACCACGTATTATCGTCGTGAAATGTAGATAGCACATTATACCATGGCGCGGATATGGTACCACGTTCTATGATAGCATGATTAGTTCTAAATTTTATTGTTGCAGTGTTGAACCACAACGTTACATCATGATGGTGGTAAAAAGATACTATAGAGTTCATCATTGCAGTGCTGATCCCCCGTATTCTATAATAATGGTATGGCAACATAGAGCTGCATTTACATAATCAGGTTAACTGCTCATTGTCTTACAGCTGATACTGAGCAGTGGCCTGTACCCTCAGTTGGCGATCGTAGATGAGAACAATTCTTTCCGACCAAATACCGATCAAGTGTTTCACACGAAAGACAAGCCGTTCGTAGTGCTGCACCCTGTTGGTGTGTTTGCTTCCGATCCAGAACTTCTGCAGCTGAAGGTTAACATGTCACTGTTTTATTGAGTTTGGCACTGTTCATTATTTTCTAGGCTGCTATTTTTGCGAACACACGTGTCGTTTGCTGTGTTATTTGATTACGTTCTTCGTTTTGCCCCCGCATCTGTTGGCATGTTTTGTAGAGAGTTGTGCATCTAGAAATTATTAATAACATTAATAGTTTACATTTAACATTAATACATTAATAACCTACTAGAGAATATTGATGAACATTATTACTCTGATAGACCGGCTTAATTATCTGTATATTGTTTTTTGATCCAAGGACCTGGATGTAATGAGTAGCGAAGAGAGTAAGGACACTCAGCAAGTACAGACAAGCGCTAAGCATCAACTCCTAACATATGTCACTCTGATGGAATCAAAGAACAAACCTTACATTATCAACACAACACGAGTTCCTGCACTGCAGGTGCGTTATTGCTACCTCTATTCCCGATTTATTATTTCAAACATTTACAGTGCCTCGTGCTGATATCAGGCGTGAATAAAAACACGTTTTTAACCATGTTTTTGTCCACTATATATATATATATTAGGAATCACTAGGATTGTCCAATATTAGCTTTCAGTCTAGTACTGAATGTGTTCATGCATACGTTGATTTGACATATTTTGAGGTGTCAAAGTAAGCAGTAAAACCCCATCTCATCGTATTGCTCCGCTCATAACTCTACTCTAACCATGTATGACAGACTTTGCTGCTGTTCGCCCATGCATTGGACACCAGTGCAGACCTGCAGAGGGTCGTTGCTGATGGCTGGTTGGAGGTGACCTTCATAGACACCGACCAGGCACATGGTACTATCAGTGGTGTGATACAAATCCGCCGTGCATGGGCTGAACTAGTGGAGAAACGACTCAGTGGTGAGTTGCTATCCAAGCACTAATATATAGCTATCATTTTTCACATGCAAGGAGGTGAAAGCATTTGAAAGTTTTTTTTTGCTTTTGTTTTATAACTGCACACTCCAATTTATATGGTTCTACAATGATTGTGTATACTAATTATGGATTTTTTAAAAGCAATTCGTTCAAAATGTTGAAAACTTGCTATCATGCTGTGCTGTCCAATTTTTCCTTTTCCTTTTAAAATTAACTCCTGAATTTCTTATATACTTTATGTAAAGAACATCATTCATGTAATATATTGTACCTCTGCTGGCAATACAGACATAAGTGGGAAGCATACCGAGGTACCAGCGATGTCGGAAACCAAGCTAGAGAGAAGATTGCAGGCATTAATGTACACGGAGATTCCATATAAACTCAGGAGGGTGTTGGCAGCAGAGCGCCAGCATATGTACCTAGGATCAAGAGCAGGTAGTGTGTGTTTGCCGATATCAGAACAGTGGTTGCTAAGGTGATTTTGTCAGATACGCGATGATGCTATTGCATCTATTTGATGTTTTGTTATAATGTCACTGTTGGGTAGCACCAAAATCGTCTTTGCATAGTATTAGGATACCAGATAACAGTTAAGCTTTACTTTTTGTACCTGTACATAATATGGCCAAATAATATTGGGCTATCAGCAGCAAATAGAATCCCACAATTTCAGGAGAGTTATCCACAGGGGAGAATCCCTTCTCTCCTGGTGAACAATGCGAGCTGGATGCTGTAAAGGGAGGTCTGCAGGTAACGGATTACCTCACCTATGGCTGGTAAGTTAAAATTCGCATGACTGCTACCCCTACCGCCTTCTGCGGCTGTATACACCCTTGTGTGTACATGCGTTGGTGTGTGCGTGTGTGCATGCGTGTATGCACACATACCTGTTTGTGTTTCTTTTTAATTGCTTTCCATGCAGTGACGTTAGTGGTTTTGCATTTTTTCATATCCATAGTCAGTCGACTCGACTATGAGAATAAACATCTATATTATGTTACCGTCTCTTGGAGCTAACTTGGGTGGTGCTGCAATAGGCAGGTTATATATATTACCAGTTTTCTCTTTCCCCATGCCCAAGTAGTGATTCAATGGACAGGTTTTCATGTACTGTGACCACTGGCATATAAGTTTGCTTGTTTTCAGTGCCCCCCCCCCTCGCCACCCAAATGGTACAGCATTTCCTAATTGCACCTGCTGCCAATTTTGTGTGATCATCATCTGCCTTGTCATCTGTGTTGCAGCCTTGATTGCTCAAGTCACAGCACGGCATTCCTAAGTAGTGTTTGGACGTGTCCAAGCTGTGAGTGCAAAATGGTGGTCAGCGAATTGCAGAGACTGCAACACGAGAACAGCTGTGGTATGACGGAAGGTAACTACATAAGCACCATCGCTAATCTTAAGGTTACAGTCGGATGCCCACGTGAGACACTTATCAAAATATTTAATTAATGTCATATTTAAAATATGGTTAATACTGTCTTTAGTCTTACGGTCTCTTACCCAGATATTTCAGAAGCATCAGTGCTTGAGTTTTATATCTTTATATCCATTATATCTCTTTAATATCCATTTACAAACAATTCACATTCATTAAAAGGTAATACTATTCTAGCTTTCAGCATAATTTTCAGCTCTATTGGGCTCAATTTTTGGTACATAATAATTTTTACTACTCGGCATTAATATGAAATAACTAAAATTCGACTTAAAAATCGATGGTCGAAAATTTTAAAGAGAAAATAACTTGCCCTCTCTTCAAGTTATTGGTAATACCACTGCTTGTGATGCCTCTTGTGGCAATGACACAATATGCACTCATTTTCGCAATATTAGTCTGTTTATCTCTCTGGCTAGCTGCTATTTACGGTGTGGATTTTATCATATCTGCTCATTCAATCGTAATTGAACGAATACTCGATGTTCCTACGAGGTAGCATTGACGAGTTCATGCCATGTGTTATTGCAGGAGAGGCGAGTAAAGTGGAGGAGGAAGAGGAGGAGGAAGATGATGGGCCAGTGAATCCTCTTAAGAAGTCCTATTATTGCGAACCATGTAATAAGAATTTCAAGTTTACCTCAGTGGAGATTCTCAAACACAAGAAGCAGCATGCACAATAAGATGCCAGCACTACGTATGTGTTTGCTGGTTTATGTTCTCGCCAGGTGGCCTCACTAGCTGTTAAATAACCAAAATATATTATATATATATCAAGAGTACATAATAGAGAAGAGTATGACACCGTTTTAACAGCGTTTTGCATAGTTTTCAACTGTGACTATCAATATGTGAATAAATATATTCAAACTTTACCTTGTTTTCGTATATGATTCTCCTTTAATCATATGACACCACCAATTTACCTGAAAATCGTATGTGTTCTTCAAAAAAGTTATTTGAATAGGACACGGTTTCACAGTTTCCCCAAACTTTTGCATCTCTGCCGCCAAACTTGATATATCGGCGGCAGCACCAGGTTGTAACTACGGGTGCTGGGGGCTGTTGTGGATATTAAGTAAGCGCAGTAACAGAACTTGTTTCACTTCCTTATCAGGAACACAATGGCAACACAGCTAAAATCAGCTGCTAGCTCGCCGTGAGCACATTTATTTTTAGCACGCTGGAAACGCTACACGCTGAATACAATTCGATGCCTAATCTCCCCAGCAGCCCCCGCCGTCCCGTCATAGACAATAGAACACTAATCTTATAATAAACTATGGCCGAACAAATGTGACCATTTGTGAAAACTATGTGAAACCGTGTCGTATTCAAAGAACTTTTTTGAAGAACACATACGATTTTCAGGTAAATTGGTGGTGTCATATGATTAAGGGAGAATCATAGATGAAAACTATGCAAAATGCTGTTAAAACGGTGTCATACTCTTCTCTATTATGTACTCATGATATATATATAATATCAGGAGTTAATGAGACAAACAATTTGTCTCATTAACTCCTGATAATATATATACATTTGTATGCAATACACATGTGCAACATGTATACAATGCGCGTGCGCCATGTTAGCGACAATCTACATCACGTGATCCTTTGTTACTGCATGTAAATATGAAAAAATAATTTGTACTTCCAATTACAATAAAATCTATAGTGTAAAATGATTATCTCCTGGCATATATATAAGCATTTATTACTATACAATCAAAAAATACATTATTACAGATCAAGCTTCTTCCATGAACTTCTGCTATAATATATGTACAGCATTTATATTTAGCACAAATGATTAAATCACTGTTTTTATATCTGAAGGTAGGGTAGGGAAGCTAGGTAAACATCCAGTGTGCGCGTGGGTGCGTATGTATGCATGTAGCTCCTATTTCCTCATAAAAACGGTGTTCAACACGTGTCAACAACGTGCTAACAGAGTTCGACAGTCGTTATGGACCGGATGTTGACTGATTAGCATGGACAGGTTATCAGATTAAAGTGTTGTTTGAGTTTGTAAGATAAAACTGGCATGCACTCGTATAAACACTCCTTATTCCATTATTCAGTGAACCAGAGAGAACAGGCCATAAAATGAACGAAAACTATTTTGACTGGACATTCCAAAGCATTTTCCAATTTACATTTGAATTACATTTCATGATAACAATGCTTCAAACAAAAAACAACTCTATTATCCAATGAACCTCGAACACCTAGCGCACACTCTGCAAATGCCCTGTACATCTGTGCTAACACACAGACTAGCAATCAGCACTAAGGTACTCTTTTACTTGTACGCAACTCTGCCACACTTTCTCATTTACAGATGCACGACTAGTCGCTGCGACTAGCAACAGGTAAGTCAGCCTGGTCTCATGTCCGTGTTGCCTCCAGCAACGCTATTGGTCTTGTCAACTTAAGCAGATTAAAATAGCTGGGTGCGATACTCATGGTTGATTGCACACCGTAGTTATTACAAGGCCTACGACGCAGCAGTTTCTGCTTTTCACTATAGAGCCATGTAGACCTGCTCAAACGCATTCTGCAATATCATCATTGAACAAATATTGAAGTAGCATAGTACGCAATAGTATAGAAGCATGAAATAGTATATAATGCATGTTCAAATAATCTTCAGCAGATACTAGACTAAGACTATCAATTTTAGAATGGCACACCTTATACTTTGTCTGATACAGCCTCATAAAAATTTCAACGCGACTCGGCAGAAAGCTGCATAAGCAATGCAAATACACATTCACGCGAGATACGACTGTTTCTTGGAGCTACAGCAAAACATGCCAGGACTAATATTTACTGTTATATTTACACGAGCAAAGGTGCATGCGCGTGTATGATAGTGTATTTACACGTGTCAAGACGCAAAGGAAGTCATTGCTGAACCTTTGCTGAACCATCCTAAGCCAGAGTTTGCAGAAGCACAGCAATATATTTACTTGGCTTACCTACAACTCACTCTACATGTACTCGCCAATATTTAAACAGAATATTTACAAATCATCTGCCTAGTTTAACTGGACTATGGAGCAAACATACATGCTCTTGCTGCACATGGTAGGTACAGAGACGTTTCTAGGGAGCTATAGCTAGCTTCCCATCTGAACATGGCAGAAAACATCCCCCCTGCTAATAGCTCATTTCACAGCAAGTGGTAGTTAGAGGTAAAGTTTTCCAATGTAACATGCCACGGTTTTAAAAGCACATGGGTCCTGCACCATCTCAGTTCTCCATGGTCTCATCCCTCCATTTCACATAAGTATGCACTGCAGAACTAGCATTTTCTACATGCGCATAAGAACGGACTACAGTACTTACAAGGCACAAGGACCTTATTTACACAATATACACAAGTATGTGAATCGCAGATGTGTAACCAATGTGCATGTTAGATTACTGCAAGCCAAGCTTCTTTTAGAACATATATATATCCTTGTCCACTATCTCAGTATCAGGACTTCGCAAATTTGAAGATGAGTCCAGCTGTTCCAAGGCCGAATAGTGTCCACGCAAGTCCATTCCAAACCTTGTCATCGTCGTCGTGTTTGCTAGCAAATTTCTTCTCGAAAGCATCCTGAAAACATTAAAAGGACATCATTAGAAAATGGTAGTAACCAAGCAGAAACGTGTGAAGAGCGGGAAATGTATTTTTTGGAAAACGATACTCCTGCAACGTATGGTATTATCAAGAGCTAATAATACCTTAGCTCTTGGTAGCTTAAAAGGTATTATTAGCTCTTGGTATTATTGTAGCGAGAAACAAAGCTAAAATGTCTGTATCTTACTATAAATTGGAGATTTTCTGTGTGTGTGTGTGTGTGTGTGTGTGTGTGGACGCGACCTGATGTGTGTGTGTGTGTGTGGTGTAGTGTCCGGGCTACACGCTTTCCGCACGCTCAACGGATCCTCCTTCCAAACTTGTACGAACTTCTACAGTCATGACACGCTGCATGGGGCTATTTTTTTTCGCCCAGTTTCATTTTTTTCACATTCCACGTTCAAAACACCATTAAAATAGTGTAATTTTTATTGCATGCAACATCACAACACGACAAACACCGACGCCCAACCTGATCGGATCTTATATGACTGTTCATATTTTTTTATTTTTTTTATTTATTTTTAGTTTTGCAACAACCTAACGGGGCCATGGACCGGGCTATTGGCTTAGACTAGCCGGTGCCCCCCAGACTGGCCCGTCTTATTTCAGGCCGCAGCCGTTGATCCCATCATTTCTTCAAAATGTTGCTCGAGGCGGCTATTGCTCCCCTAGGTGCGTTGGCCCTTAAATTACAAAAAACAGGGAATTACGAGATTATGGGATTCACTGGGAATTTCGCTTAGTCTGAATTCTGCGGCAACGCAGGACTCCGGACTGCACTTGACACAGCCCTTCCCCGTCCCGTAGCCTTCTCGTTGGCGCCTTGCTGCGTAAGCATGTCATCGTACACATTCGTTGCAAAAAACATTGTCTGGCATCTGAAAGCGCACCGAAAAACCTATAATTAAAAACTGAAACTACCCTAATTACCTCAAATGACTTACTGCCCACCGCATGCCACTCACGATGTTTACTCGGTGACCGCATCTTTTTTTTTCTCTTTGCCCCATCGCACAATCCCCATTGGTTGTATACAAATCACGTGCCTCAAACTCCCTCAAATGGACGCCCCATGTTGTCAAGCCGACACATCCATAACGACATAACCCCAATGACCCGATAGCTCTGAAAACGCCTTAGAAGCCACAGACGACACTGCCTGAAAACTGTCGTTGGATTCGCTCAATCCCATCTGTTTTTAATCTATTTCCTTCGGTTTTCTGATTTTTCTATTGTTTTCATCCATATTTACATGATTTAAAAAAAAAAATAAAATTTTACAACAGTTTAATAACAACAAATATTTTTTTGGTTTTATAGAGTTCGTAGTGTTGTTAGGGTTAGCTTCATTGGGTGGTCACAATGCCACCATAGAACAGGAGTCGAAGGTACCGCGTGATTTATCAACAATGCGGATTGGGAGCTATGAGGCCACAGTGTATATTTTCTCGCGCATATGGCCTGCGTCTCTTATTTATGGCTTGGGCACCATGGGAGTTTATACGCGTTAGGGCTTTTCGGGTAGCAAGCAGTATGGCGGGAATTGTTCCCTGCGTACCAAGCCGCTACGCCGCACCCGCGCGTGTTACTGCCAAACACAACTCATGCACCACGTGTACCTGCACACGTCACGCACGCGCACGCACTTGCACGCGAACGTGTACTGCACACTCTGCCGCGCACACGTTGCGCGACCACGCACTGTGTACACCTTGCCACACGGACCGCACACACCACATGCAGCAATGTGTAAGTTCTCACACGCACCACGCACGCACATGTAAGTCGCACGCTCGCACTCAACGTGTAGCGTGCACACCACTGCACTGTCGTACGTGCACTACATAAACAGTGTTTCTTATTCAGTAACATGTGGTCATTCATATGCTAAATAGTCATGCAGCTAACGCTTTGTCTTTCTGCCAACCACAACACATAAACAAATACATTGTGAGCGGTTCTCTGATCTATAACTGCTGGTGTTCACGTGAACATCGCTATTTAGGCCTGTTTCGCGGTCCTCTCCGCTCATGATGGGGCTGTGTAGTCTTGATATGTGTTGCCTGTAAATTAGATCCCGCTAAAATTCTGGGAGACTGTTCGCTGCTCAGCACATTGAATTTGGCCGCCGCGTCTTCTGCGATACTTGGCGCCAGTGTTTGCCATCCTGAGCAGAAAACAGCTGTCAGTCCTGGCTAGGGCCTATAGGCTTCCTAAAAAGTGCAGGGCCCGCCAGCGAAGCCTTGTAGGCCCTCTGCCAATTTTCGGACGCACAATCTACCAGTACATTAAAACCAGCATTATTCATGTCTTCCTTGTGTTTATTATCATTATCAAACTGGTCCTATAATTCATTAATCCCCTCTGCTGTTTCCTTCCTTTTCGTCGGATGACCTGTTTTATGGCGCTTTCTATTGCTCGCGGGGGCTACACCAATAGGATAACGCCACATCGGTGTTACTATGTAGCTCCTGGGTTAACTACGACCCTGCTCCACGTTGACAGCATGCAGAGACCAGACTGAGGACTGTAGTCTCGGTACACATCGGCGCCTTCTATCTGGCGGCTGGCCGGCCAGAACGTTTTTGAAAAAATTATAAGCTCTGAGATGCAATTTAGCAGCCATTTCACGGGCTACTCAATACATATACAACTAGCAACACTTTTGGCTGGCAAAAGGGAAAACCCATCTACACCTACACCTCCATCCTTATGTAAAAGATTCTTACGCCCTACTGGTAAAATTTTGATCGGGCACTGGCGGAATTCTGCGTCTGTTGCTTGAGGTGTGTCAAATTAGCTAAATGTATTTTGCTAGCACATACAGCTCTTTACTACGGAAAGCTTTCTATTTAGCTAATCTCTGTATATCACAAATGTATTATAGTTTTGTTCAAACGGTTAAAACATGATGACCACGGCCTTAAACCTGAGTGGTGCGGACGAGGCCTGTATAGCTGCCTTGCATTGCTAGTAAGTATAATACGACGGTGCTTTGCAGCTTAAAACAACTAGTGACTTAATGACATTGTTGTGTACAAACTTGAGACACACTTATTATTTACATACTTTACTTGTACAACTTCGAACATGAGTATATTACCTAAATCTTCTTAATTATGTATTATTAAAACAGCTATACTGATCGTTTCGTAATAACTACCAGAGTACCAGTCATACTTTATTGTTTACATCCAAACGTGAAATGCGCGGGGATGTGAGAATTACTCCACAACCTAGCGCACGTGAACAGTGAGCGTGCTGCACGACCCGTGCACGTAAATAAACCCTGGCCAACACAATGTAAAAGGTTCGCTACCACTGGCCAAAAGTAAGCTCCACCCACTTCTTATCGATTTTTGGTATGCCAACGCTGCTACTGGATTCAGGAACCTGTGCTAACCTGTGCGTCCGAACATCCCACGCACGTTTCTTGAATGCCAACTAAAGTTGATTGCAGTGGGCGAACGCATTGTTTACATGTATGTCACGGTTTATCACGGATTAGTTTTCAAATAAATATGCCTGGAAGTTAATATGCATGAACAGATTTCTACAGGTAACAGTTTCTCAGTGTTTCGAATTTTCGGTGATCAAATAGCTGTAGGATCAACAGGCCTGTTTGATCAAGAAGCTGTAGGCCCGGCATCGAAACTGCCGGCGGCGGGCCGACGGGCCGGCGTGAATTTCGAACACTGTTTGGCGCACGGATCAATAGCTGCCAGCGCGTGATACTTTCGTAGGACGTTCCCGCGGTCGCGTGCGCCTTGCCGCCGAACTGCACGCAAGATTCGCGCTTAGCGGGCAGGATCAACACCTCTCAGGCGACGCTTCTCTGGTTTCCGGTCTCTCATCTGGTTACAGTAAATTGATGGGGACAATTGGTAACGAGTAACAGCAGTGCTCATGAGATCATGTATTTATGGCACTACCATCTATCTAAAATCGTTTGCACTGAGAATGCCTGATGAACGTTGTTTTGCAGATTGCATCCACTTGTTTCCGTTGTATAAACCAATATAATGAAATCAATTCACGGAATGCAAGCATTGATTTAACTGCAATGATGCACACAACGTCCATGAACGCACTGTATACCCCAAAAACAGGAACTGACAACTTTCCGCATTTAAGTTACACAAGCCAGTTAGTTGGAATTCCTACCTATATGCCCCCATCAACATTAGGATTGGCAGAGCGTGCACTTTACATACATGTAACATTACCCGTATGTACCATGTACTGTAAAAACTTGCTCTACAGCTTTTGTAAATCCTTGTACGAACTGGTGGTTTCACTGGTTTGTCACGGTTGTGTTACGCTAGCTATGTTACTGTGGCATGCACAATGGCTAGCAGTACTGTAGCGCACTACCAGTTTGAATCAGGTCACGTATATATCTCACGAGGCCACTCTCAAATTCTTTCTCAATTCTCGTTTGTTGTACATAGTAACTGTAACCCAACCCAACTTTTCAGGGTTGGGTAAATAGTCAAAGAAAATTTTCAATTAATCAAGGAACTCAACTATTTAATTATATTAGTTAAAAGAATTGACAAACTGATAAAAATTGGTTTGCTTCTAGTGAAGAACTCATGTTATTTGAGTTGATCATGGATTCTGGTCAAATGTTTCGTTATATTGTAGTACATTACTATTTTTGCAGTATAACTTGTTTGAAACGACTGGTAAAGGTAAAACAATCTAATAAACAAGAACATAAAAACATAAGAGTTTACAGGAGTGGGAGACTGACATCTCAACAAATAACAACCTACCTTGCATGTCATCTCTTTCCTGCTATTATGTTCCAGTTTATTAGATTGTAATATCAAATAGCAAAACAAAAATTTCGAATGTGTTATAATCCCCCATGGATCCAGCCCAGTGTTGCAATGATTTTTAAGTGTACCTTAATCACTTTACTTGTACAGAAAGTATTGTCGTTTTTGTATTATATTTTTCCTTTGTTGTATAATGCTGTTTTGTACTTTATTACTAGACTTACTATTTGAACCATCTCCATTAAAAAGACTGTCTTCAGTACATGTGTTTGGGTTTGAATTACATGCAATAAAGATTTAATAATAATAATAATAATGGCAACTGAAGCAGACTTTGATAAAGTAACTTGCTCAAGGGCATAGCGGCAGTGACAACGGTCCGACTTGAACTCAAAGACTACTACTGCTCCCACCACAGGTACAAGGGTACATCTTACCTAGATGCCTAGAACACCGGTTCAGCATCCCTAATCATAAATATCATCAACATCATACATCGCCACCATAGCTCTAGAACTATAGCCCTCCGCCCCGCCGCAGGGCTATAGAACATACTATGGCAATTTCCAGGGAGTAAGCATACAACTTTTTTGCAGTTAATTACTTAGAACTTCGGTATGCCAAATAAAGCACATTCTCTGCCGCACAAATGTCTTAAAGGGACAGTAGCCTCTAGGATTTTACTGCATACAACTGTACTTACTGTATAACAAATCGTCTATACCACCACGTATTTGTTACCAGATACCTAATTTAATTGTTATAATTAATTACACATCAACGCTACGAAATTTGAACGGCGCCATGACACCCGCGACCGTGCTGCCACCCCGAAAAAGTTGCGTATTTGACCATTTATTTTGCACGTTACAGACCGAGGGCTAATCACAAAAGTGCAATTATATTTATACCTAAATGCTATTTAACCGAACGATATTCATTTTAGGGCAAATTTATCCATATTATAACTGAAACTATATGTCGTTTATAAGATATTGCAATCCTGCTTTTAAATGAATAAATAAGAAACACCCTCGGTCTGTAGCCCTTGGCTGGAAAGTGGTTTTGCGCAACTTATCAGATCGTTCGCTTTGAGTGGCGCCACCGTCGTTGTAATCAAATTGTAGTCGTTAGTTTTAAAACATTTTTTAAAAATATTTCTAATGGTGATTGAACCATGAAACTTTTTATGTAGCGTAACTATAACCTAAATTAGCTGAAAATAACCCTAGAACCTAGAGTAAACTCTCCCTTTAAGTTACTATAAACACTAAAATTAAACCGCAAACTAACGCTTAAATGTTGTACTTGCTATATTACTTGTCGACGAAGATTGTTTACCAACTTGTAACCGCCATTTTTCAATGTATTTCCAAGTGGAGGGGTGGGCAGGTTGCACGCGGATGCAAACCGCCATTTTTCGTTGTGCAGCGCGAGCGTGGTTTGCAACCACGTGCAGCCTGCCCACCCCTCCACTTGGAAATACATTGTGCCCGCTCACTAGCGAAAAATGGCGATTACAAGTTGGTAAACAATCTTCGTCGACAAGTACCGGTAATATAGCAAGTACAACATTTAAGCGTTAGTTTGCAGTTTAATTTTAGTGTTTATAGTAACTTAAGACATTTGTGCGGCAGATAATGTGCTTTATTTGGCATACCGAAGAAGTTATTAACCGCAAAAAAGTTGTCTGCTTACTCCCTGGAAACTGCCATAGTATGTTCTATAGCCCTGCGGCGGAGCGGAGAGCTATTGTTCTAGAGCTATCGCCACCATAACTTCAATCTCATTAAAAATCGACATCATGTATGTATTGGTAACCTAAATGGAAACGACATCAGAAATGAAAATCTGGTCGCAACTTTCCAAACACCAACCCGATTACCAGCGCAGTAGCATAAACCTAATCAGGGCAGTGTTTGGAAATTTATGACCATATTTTCGTGCACAATCCTAGTTTGGGACAGCGCAAATGTGTTTTTCACAAGTGTGCTAAACTAGGATTGGGCATCTTCATTACCGACCCCGTTCCAAGTGTCAAGTGTGTGATAATACCTACCCAACCGCCATTTTTCCGAATCCAACCTCCAAGTTCAGTTGACGTATACTCTGCCAAACTGGTGACAAGTGCCTCTGTGTCTATATTTTTTGCTTTGCAATACTTCGCTATTTTCCCAGCAAAGGAATGCAGGGCGACAATTCGTCCCCAGTTGACTTTTCCATCACTGAAGACCTGCTGCGCGATGTTGCCGATGACTTCGTGACTGTGGTTTGCCAAGCCATTTTTCAGTATGCTCATGACAAACTCCGAGAACTGCATTTCATGTTTACTGAGTATCTCATCACACAATCTCAGCATCGTCTTGCATGTCTTGTCCGGAGCCTCGCTAGCTTGCAAACCTCCCTTGTAGTAGTCGATGATGAAACGGGAAATCACGAGCTCCTTGTTCGGCGACCAATATCTATGTTCTGAAACGTGCGATCGTTTCTTGTTTCCTGCGTGTCCACAGAACGACGTATCCCTAGGTTCAACTTCAGTGTCAGTGATGCCACTGTCACTAGCCCTACTAAACACTTCAGAGTCACAGCTTGCTACAGTCGTCATTGTACTGCTTGGTATGCGAAACAAGCCCTGACAGCAGAATACAGAGAGCAGATTATGTATATGTTGTGCTCAGCAACAGCATAGATAGGCACTGCGTACCGTACCACAAGCCACCGCACCGAGTAGTAGTACTAGTAAAGTAAACACTTCCAGCGCCGCAAATGACTCACAAATTTCTTGGAATCGTGACGTCTGACCATATACGTCTGACGATATCAAATGCAATTATCAATGTCAATGACTCAATACTCGACAATAGTGCAAATGCAAGCAATAATTAAACGTATTTAACCATTATTATTCCGTGAAAACTTTAGACAAACAACATCAATCACCTTTTGGCGTTGTATTTCGCTTTGTCAACACACCAACAACAAAGATAACCCAAAATGCAACTGCAAGGTCTGTAATGGCGGCGATCCGCCATTGGCCGAACATGATATCATGTCTAAAAATAACTAATCGTCGCTAGCCTCTTGTTTGGCGTGTTCCAAATTTACCAGAGCATATAAATCACGGTGATTTATATCTATATGCTCTGATATAACCTCAAAAATATTAGTCTTCAAAGTCCAAGGTTCCTATATCGAAGACGGAAAGAGACAAAGTTGATCAAATAGACAGATCAACACTGCAGATCGCAGTAGAAAATACCTCAAATTTGCAATTAACTAAAGGTGGTGAACAACAGTAGATCGCGTCCATAGGCAGCAGGCCTGAATAAGCATCGAACAGATATTAATTAAAAAATACTCACACTGTTACTTCGCTTACACAACATACACTTTATTCATGTTAAATAACTACAGATTCATGCTCTATGCTCCGCTCGAAACTATTGCAGGCTCTATGATGCGAATTTCTACAAAGTTGTCTGACCACATTTGATCCACAAAAATGGCCGACCGGCGACCATGGCTACGCCACTAGCTGGAATGGCACAATTACACAACAAGACCAATTTTACTTCTAATGCTTTCTAGACGTCCACGAGGCATCTAACTTGCGTGCATAATGCAAATTATTGCAATCTAGTGCCGAATTTCAGCGAAAAAAAATGCCAAAACAGGGGCGTGTACAGGATTTGTACCAGGGGGGGTCTAACCGTAACCTAAACCTGCAAGCACGCGAAGGGAGGGGGTCTGGGGGGCCCTCCCCCACAAATTTTTTGAAATTAGACCCCCTTAGATGCGTTTTCTGCGCGAGCAGGGGGGGGGGTCCGGACCCCCTGGACCCCCCCCTGTACACGCCCCTGCAAAAAAATGCATTTTCTAGAGACGAAATAGTTGAACATCCGTCCATCCATCCAGCCAGCCAGCCCGGCCCCCCACTCCGAGGTCGGGGCCGGCAGCCAGCCCATTCATCCATTCTTCCATTCCACCCAACAAAACTCCCGCCCACCACCCGATCCATCAGTCATCCAGTCTATTCCATTCATCCATCCATCCATCCATCCATCATCCATCCATCCAGTCCATCCATCCATCCATCCATCCATCCATCCATTCGATCCATCCATCCTCCATCCCATCCATGCCATCCATCCATCCATCCATCCATCCATCCATCCATCCATTCATTCCTCCATGCACCCATCCAGCCATCCACCCAATCAACTATCCACCAGGCCAAAACGCGGCTAAACTCCGATTTAAATAACTCGGATGGAATAGAACCGTAGGTCAAAAAGAAGATGGCTATAGGGTTTATCTCCAGCATCAATCGTGGGCTGAGCCTTCTACAGGAGATATAAGAAATAAAAGGGGGTGACCCAGACAGAAATAGGGTGGGTTAGATGAACATGGTAAAACAAAAGTTACAAAACCTTGGGGGTTTGGAGCTATTTATATGGACCATGAGCGGCGACAGATATGAAATAAAATTCAGTAATATACGACTCATTACCAAGACTAGACAGCGTTATCAGATTATCAAGGCGCGTACTTGTTTGTATTTGGCGGCGTACGTCCACACGTGTGCGTGTTTACGCACTCGAGCGCGCGCGCGTATGGAAAGATTTGTACAAAAAACATAAAACCACTGAGGCAACATATAAGCATTAGGATTACGCTGGTAACAACTGGTTTTTAAGAGACTAATTCCAAGTTATAGACCCGGTTTTATAAAAAGCCTTAAAACTAGGTTTACGCTCTTCCCTTTAAGTTTAAAACCCGGATTTAAGCTCTTAATACCTAGTTTTAGGCGTAAAAACTATGGTTTTTAGACCCTTAAAACTAGTTTTAAGAGCATAATTCCAAGTTTAGAGCTCAAACCGGGTTTTAAGAGCTTAAAACTAGGTTTTAAGCTTCGAGGAATTTAGCTTCGATTGGCTAGTCATTGCTTATTGCTGTGTTCTGCGGTTGGGACTTGCGATACAGTTCCTGGCACAGAAAACGAACAAGGAGGGAGCAGAGAAGCTCGTGGGGAGAAAAGGAGGGGGAAAAGGGGGGTGGCGGGGGGGGGCTGGGGAAGAGGAAAATGAGAGAAGGAGGGGTGAGGAAGGGAGCTGGTGGAGGAGGAGGGGGAGAAGCGAGAAAGCCTGTGTGGAGAAGGAGGAGGGGAGAAGCTGGTGGCGAGAAGGAGGAAGGGGAGAAGGCAGAAGGTGGTGGAGAAGGAGGAAGGGGAGAAGGAGGGAGAAGGAAGCTGGTGGAGGAAGAAGAGAATAAAGGAAAAGCTGGTGGAGAAGGAGAAGGGGGAGAATGAGGAAGGGGAGAAGGGAGAAGGTGGTGGCAAAAGAAGGGGGGAGAAACTGGTGGAGAAGGAGGAAGGGGAGAAAGGAGAAGCTGGTGGAGAAGGAGGAAGGGGAGAAGGAGGGGGAGAAGGAAGAAGGAAAGAAGGAAGGGGCGAAGGGAGCTGGTCGAGGAGGAGGGGAAGAAGGGAGAATCTGGTGGAAAGGAGGAGGAGAAAAGCTTGGGTGGGAAGGAGGAGTGCGGAGAAGCTGGTGGAGAAGGAAGAAGAAAGAAGGAAGGGGCGAAGGACTGCGTCGAGAAGGAGGGAGAAGGGAGAAGTGGTGGAGAAGGAGGAGGGGGAGAAGCTGGTGGAGAAGGAGCAAGGGGAGAAAGAAGAAAGCTGGTGGCGAAGGAGGAAGGGGGAGAAGGTGGGGGAGGAGGGGGAGAAGCTGGTGGAGAAGGAGGAGGGGAGAAGGAAGAAGTGGTTGAAAGGAGGGGGGGAAGTGGTGCGAGAAGGAGAGGAGAGCTGTGAGAGAAGAAGGAAGTGGGAGAAGGAGGGGAGAAGGGAGCTGGTGGCAGGAGGAGGGGAGAAGCGGGCTGTGTAGGGAGAGTAGGGCAGAAGAAAGGGCAGAAGGGATCGAGAAGGATGGGGAGAAACGCTGGTGGAGAAGGAGAAAGCTCGGTGGAGAAGGAGGAGGGAAAAGGGAGGAAGGTGGTGGAGGATCGAGGGGGGGAGAAGCTGGAGGTCAGAAGAGACCTTTAAGCTATAAAACTGGGTATTTAGACCCTTTAAACGAAGTTTTAACGGTCTTTAAAACCCTCGGTTTTAAGGTCTAAAACCCAGCATTTAAGGTTCGTAATACCTAGTTTTAGGGCTCGTTTAATTCTTAGTTTTAGAACTGAAACCGCTTTTAATATCTTAAAAACCGGGTTTAAGGTCTAAAACAAGTTTTATGCCTTAAAACTAGGTATTAGAAGCCTTAAAACCCGGTTTTTAGAACTTAAAACCTAGTTTATAAACCTTTCAAAACCCTGGTTTAATGACCGGTTTTATGGTCTAAAACTAGGTTCTTAATGACATTAATGTATTCATTAGTCTGTGGCCGACCACTTCCGATCAGCCTGTATACATAATAACAGGAGCCTAAATAACGACAAAGCATTCATTATCATTTTGTCATTATTCAGCTCCTGATAATAACACGGAGTATCACTCCTGATAATAAAATGCGTTACAACTACTAGTTAGACCATTAGATTACCCATAAGATATAGAGAGATATATAAGAATATAGATATAGGTGCGAGGCAGACAGCGGGACTTTACCACATCCGCGGAGCTCGTATGGCGCTGAAAACAACAGCCTGGTCTTCCGTGAGCAATTACATGTATGCAACCCCATTTCAAACCAAAAGCATTAATAATTTCCTTGCATATATAGCCGCAACTTAGGTAGTCGGCCTGTAGGTTGTCACAATCTATATATTGTACAAGATAAGAAAAATATTTTTTGAGATGCCTTACACAGGGTGATTAAGTCATAACTCATCGTGCATATGTGCTGGACTGCCCACTTAAATGTAAATGATAAAATGAGTAAATCTAAATGGTACGCATGTGAGTTCGTCAAATTCTCCAACTATTTGTTCTGATCATTTACGTGGCAACCGGTAAACTACGTATTTTTATAACTGCGGTGTGTTGTGCCGTGGCGCGCGTGCGTCGTGTGCGTAGCGTGTGCGTGTGGGCCCATGCGTCTCTTGTGTGTTGCGTGTTTGTGAAGTCCTTGTGTTGTGCGTGCTCGGTTGTGCGTGTCTATGCGTGTGCGTGTCAGTGTGTCACTGCCGTTGTGTGCGAGTGGTCAGTGCGTGGGTGGTGTGAGTGCTGTCACTGTGTGTACGTGTGCGTGGTGGTGATGTTATGCTGAGGCGATGTACGTCGTGCGCTGCCATGTACGTGCGTGGCGTGTGCGTCCTGAGTGGTTCACTGCGTTGTGTGTGTTCGCGTGCGCCCGCGTGCCGTGCGCGGCTTGTTGTGCGTGTGCGTTGCGTGCGTGGGTGTGCGCCGCGTGCGTGATTTGATGTGTTTTGTGTGTGTGCGTGTGCGTATGCGTTGTGCGTAGTGCGTCGTGGTGTGCGTGTTGCGTGTGCGCTCTGTGCGTGAAGCATGTGTGTGAGTTGTGTCACTGATTGTCGAGCGCGATCTTGTGCGTGTGAGTGTGTCACTGTGTGTTCCCGTGTGGCGTTGTGAGTAGTTTGTCGCTGGTGTTGCGTCGCGTGTGTTGGTGGCGTGCGTCGTGCGTGTGCGTGCGCGTGTGCGTGTGTGTGCCAGTCAAACTGCTTAGTTGCGTTGCCGTGCGTGTGCGCGCGTCGTTTTTGCTGTGTCTTGTTGTGTGCGTAGTGTGGCGTGCGTCGTTGCGCGCGTGCGTGGTGCGTGTGCGCTGATTCCCCTAGTGCGGTTGCTGTGTCCTTGTGGTGTGCATGTGCATGTGCGTGTGAGTGTGTCACTGTGCGTTGCCGAGTGCGTGATGACGTGTGCCTGTGAGTGCTGCAACTGTGGTTTGGTGTCCTTGCTGTGTGCGTGTCGCGTATGTGCGTGCCGGTCGCGTTGCGTGCGTGTGCCTGTGCGTGCGTGCTGTGCGTCAACCACTACGGTGTGCTGTGTGCTATTGCGTGCGTGCGTGCGTACGTGCGTGTTTCGATTGTGGTGTGCGGTGTGCGTTTATG